TGTCATAGTAAGAACATTAAAAATATCAAGATTGCTAACTGTGACAACTAATGATTTTACTTTGTCCCTACTTTTCCTAATTAGCAATGCTAAAATGAATGTTTCCTTTATGGGTTTTATTTTGAAACAGAGTTGGGGGTCTTAATAAATGTATGTTAATATAGGCTTAAACATGAGGGTTGATAAAGAAAGAAATGTATTTATAAAGAACTATGCACCCTACAGTATAGATGTTGGCTTCCTTGAAGTGTTGTAAATTAAAAAGGATTTTAACATTCTGAAGTGGCCAGAAAGAAAACAAATAAAAGCATTTAATTGCTTAGTCAAACAAGAAATGGTGCTTAAATTGATTTACAGTACATTTTCTTTTCTCCTATGGAGATTTTGTACTTGTATATCAACATAATTTCTATTTTATGCATTTTATATTTCTCATTTCACCGTTTCCTCAAAGCTACCATGTCAAAACAATTAAGACATTCCCCACTGGTATTTCTATTAGCAGAAAACCACCCTCCAAGTTGAATAAATCTACAACTCACATAGTCTGTCAACCTTTATTCTTAGTACAGGTGTAACGAATGCCAGGGGTTGTGTAATAGCTGGCTCTGTGGTGGTTGGTGGCTAGAAGTAGCAATTTTAGGACATTATTCTAGAGCAGAATTTGAAGGCAGGATTTGTGTATATACTGGAGCCCACCACTTCCAGGATGCAAGCTGCAACATATAATTCTCTGTCTGTGATGGTAGGTGATGATGGTGGTAATGATAATGATGACATTACGATTCTACAATGATAAGAAATGTCAGTGGTCTATGAGATCACCAAATTGATAGCATACGGAAGGCTGATAATTTGATTGATTTGAGAAGAAAGCAAATAGGACTGGACCTCAGAAGCCTTAGGTACTAATGCCAGTCTGGTCACTCACTAACTTTATATGAAATTGCTTTCCTTCTCTTTGGGAAGCTACATTGAGCATATAAAATAATAGCATGATTAATACTTTGATTTTCAGACTAAGACACCTCAACTGTTTTCTAAATGTGGTAAGAGGAGCAAAGAGAATCGTTATTCTGTCAGTTAGATCAAAGTAACTCCTACTCCTTTATTTCACTCACACATAAGCTCATGTGCATGAATATAATAAAATAGAACAGCTTGGTACTTATAGTTTTCTCAGTAAAAACCTAACTAGATTCTAGTTGTTATAGAACTTTCCAATATCTAATATAGAAAAACATTATCTTCCAAGAGCATTATTATCTTGTTTATTTGTCCTCTGGTTGATATTGTTGTCATGTACTCACAAAAGCCATCTAATACCATCCTCCAGATCCTTAAGACACAAAGCCTTGCCTGCAGGAAAAGTGCTAACCATTACTTGGGGAAAATTCCCTGCTATTATCTGTCTCCTAATGAAAATCCTACAAGAGTACTCTACGGAGTTACTAAAGTCGAAATGAATCCTTAAAGGAAACGAAAAGAACTACATCTAGGAGTCTGACCTTTCCATTTAACTTTTTCAACTCTACTCAAAGTCTACTTACTAGAAGCATGAACCATTTACAATTATAGAGAGCAAATAGTCTATCCATGTGTTTCAATAACTCTACAATAAAAACAGGGTCATTGATAGTTGATGTTTCACATGATAAACTGCCTTAATTCATTAAAGGAAGCAACAGCAAAAACTGTATCACAAGTCTGTGAACTACCAGTTTCTTGACTTTAAGGAGAAATTACAGAACAATTGAATCACAATAATTCAGTAGTTTCGAATTTGGAGTCAATATGCCTTGATTTGGTTCTCAGCATTTTAGATATGTTATTAGGTATACTTATTTAAAGAATGTTTTGTAAAATTGTGATGTGATGTTGCAAATTTACAACTACTAAACAAAGACATTTTAAGATCACTTTGGAGCTGGGAGTTGGTGGCACACGCCTTTAATTCCAGCACTCAGGAGGCAGAGGAGGGCTGATCTCTGCGAGTTAGAGGCCAACCTGGTCTACTGAGCAAGTTCCAGGACAGGCTCCAAAACAATACAGAGAAACCCTGTCTTGGAAAAAATAAAAAAGGATCACTTTGGAGCTAGAGATGTGATTTGGTGGAATACAACTTGTAGTGTTCTGCTATATCATATACACCAAAGCAAAAGAAGGTCTCTACTAGCCCCTTAGGAAAAGCACACAGCAATGTGATTTGGGATCTAAAGTACCAAACTATCTGTGGGCACTTTTAAGATGATAATTATATAAGTTTTAACATTATGATATTTTTTGGACAATGCTCATCTCTCACTTTACTTACAAATAATTTTTCTGTTCATGATTTTCATACATGCATATCTGTTAAATCATTTTTTTATTTAACTGGCTGATTTTTCCTTCTTGTCTTTACTAAAAACAATTGAGCACCTAAATGCACAATTATTCCAGTTTATTCCACTCCAATAATTCTTATCAACCCAGTCCTTCATTCTTTATCCAAGCATACATTATATAGTAATGCTATATTAACTGAATGTGTAATTTCAATATTAGCTTCAGTCTTAAGAACATCAGAGAGAGTGGCTTCTTTGGAAAACTAACCCTTGAGAAGGATAAAGTATGAAAATTCCAAGAATCTTGGATAGACACTATCTCTCATGGCCACTATTTCAGAGCTCCCTGACCAAAAAAAGTTACCCAAGATTGGCGAAAGCCCTTCCTGGGCCTTACAATGGTAGCTGATATTAAAATTGTATAGCTGACCTATACAAGCACATAGCAACCATGTACTAGGAATCATTCTTAACTTCCTAAAGTTATTACCTTTCAAGAAACATGGTTATGCCTTTAATTCCCGCACTTGTGATACAAAAGCAGGCAAATCTCTATGAGCTTGAGGTCATCCTAGTCTACATAGTGAGTTCCAGGACAGCCATGGCTAAACAAAGAAACCCTGTAATAATAAACATAATTAGAATCACTAATATTATCAATTTCCATAGACACCAAATTAATACTTTATCTACCTGGAGCAATGAGACAGAATTGATTATTCTACACATTTCAAATATGCTTTGAAACAGAGAGTACGGTCATATATGTGATACCCATAATGAAAAAATAGTATGGAGACTATTAAAATCCAAACTACACAAAAATACAGCTATATATGAATATTTTATTCAAACACTGAAGTAAACAAATGTGATGTCACAATAAAGCAGCACACCAAATACATTGTCTTTTTGGTTTTATGACTTTAAAATGTTTTTTAAGTTTTTGAGTATGTGATAACATTTTATTTTGATTACATTCATCCCTATTGCCCAATGCCTCACATGTAATAACCATCCTTCTTTGTGTCCTTATCTCCTTTTTTAACTCCATTGTTGGGGACACACACACACACACACACACACACATACACACGCAAACACACACACAGAGTCTTGGTTGAATGGCCATTTACTGGATCTTGGTAGACCTCCTGGGAAAGCTAACTCCCTATACTAACAGCTGTCAATTACCAATACCTCCTCAAGTAAGGGTGGGCTTATAATATTGACCTCCCTTCTCCTTGATTTTTACATCCTTTCTAAATGATACCAGAGAATTACACATAGGGATCATGTGATACAAATGTCCCCTCTAGGGCTGAGCTCTCCCAGTCACTTATTTTATGAACATTGAACAAATGTACATGTCAATGGTAATCATCTTCTATTGCAGAAAAATAGAAAAAAAATGAAACAGCTTATCTGATGAAGTTTGCGAAATGAACTAATCTATGGGCATAGTGAAAAATCACAACCTGTTCATTTAATGCTCTGTGGTATTGACATAGTAATAGTAGTAGGTTCTAGCCTAAATCCTAGGACTTGTCTTGCCATAACTTGTTTATATTTTGATTTATTATTTATTTATTTTCCAGCCTGACTGCACCTTCCCTTCCCTCCTCTCCTCTTCATCCCACCCCAACACCTCCCCTTTGCCAACCCCCATCCACCACTTCTCCATTTCTATTCAGATAATGACAGGTCTCCCATGAATTTCGACAAAACATGGCATATCAAGTTGTAGTAAGACTAAGCACCTCACGGTTTTATTAAAGCTCAGCAAGATATCTGAAGATGGAAAGATCTCCCATGTTTATGAATCAGTAGGATTAACATAGTAAAAATGGCAATCTTACTAAAAGCAATGCACAGATTCAATGCAATCCCCATTGAAATCTGAACACAATTCTTTGCAGAACTTGAAACTACATTACTCAGTGTCATATGGAAAACCAACAAACCCATTATACCTAAAACAATACTGTAAAATAGAAGAACCGCTGGAGGTATCACCATCTCAGATTTCAAGCTCTACTACAGGACTATAGCAATAAAAACTGCATTGTACTGGCATAAAAACAGACAGGTGATTCAATAGAATCAAATCAGAGACCCAGACGTAAATCCACACACTTAAGGATGCCTAATTTTGACAAAGAAGTCAAAATTATACAATGGAGAAAAGAAAGCGTCTTCAACAAATGATGCTTGCACAACTGGGTGTCAGCATGTAGAAGAACGCAAAAATATCCATATCTGTCACCCTGCACAAAACTCAAGTCCAAGTGGATCAAAGACTTCAACATAAATCCAGGCACACTGAACCTGATAGAAGAGAAAGTGAGGAATAGCCTTGAACAAATTGGCACAGGAGGCAACTTCCTGAACAGAACACCAATAGTGCAGACACATAATCTTTCCTTATTTAATTACTGCATTAATTTTAGGTCATCTTAGTCATTGAGTATGAGAACATAATAGGTATTGTGATGAAATGGAAAAATAAGCATAGGGAAGTTGAATTTAAATCTGAACTACAAATGCAATTTTCAATTTGATACATTCTTGTTTTATATAGTACTATATAAGCTCAACTCTATGGATATATTTGCTACATAAATGAAATATTGATACATATTACTATACCTAAAATATCATCCACAAAATAAATGTTGTCTAAATACATTTTATTCAATTTCCAAAAATATAAACTTTAATATCAATGTATTTTCATGTGGATGATCTGTATTGAATTGTTAAAATCAAACAAGCCAGTAGACAGTAAAGGCAATATTTTCAGTCTCTACAAGACAGTAAATCAGTTTCTCCAAAATTTTGCCCATTGTCTTTCAAAATCAAACATCTGAATGATTGCAATTGATTGAAAAATAGGGCAGATGATGATAAGGATAGGAGTGATGAAGAGAAAAGCAAGATATTTTACATAGTTAATGCTACATCATGAAAATTGAAGCTACAAAATGAAGAATAATGTTATTTAAAATAACAAACTATGAAGATATTGAATTGGTTTATAAAATTAAATAAAGAAGTACTTATTCAAAGGGGATTATTAACACACAAAGCATTAATATATAACACATTCAAAAGACTTTTATAACAGAAGTTTATAGCACACTATTTTATAAGCAATAGTGTTTAATGATCATTTCACTACACATGGGAGAAATGTGAACTCTTAGCCCTGAGATGTTGTTTCCAATTTGGCAATAAAACACAATATTGCATAAAATGTATTGTGTTAATTTAGTTTAAATTTCAAATTTTACACATTTTCTTTCATTTTAAGTAAGGATCACAATTGTAGAGAATCAGAACAGTGTAAAACATTGCCAAGAGAATCTCAGAAGTAGATGGCGGTTTGATATACACTTTAGTTACTCAACCTGTGTGCCATCCTTCCTTTTAGCCTTAAAAATGACCAGGTATAGAGCAATGATATACCAGAGTTAATCCTTGTGCCAATAGAGTTAAAAATATCAAGTTTAATTCAAGTGGAACCAACAGATTCTCCATTTTTCCCTAATCTTTCCTCTACCTTTCCTATAAAAGTCAGACAAATCATATTTTTCTTTCTATAGATCCTCTCAATCTACATATGAAAATGGTGTATGCATATATAAAAAGAATACCCCAGGTTATTCTGGTTGTCAGTGTAAATTATCTTGTGTACCACAAATAAGAAGAAGACTATTTAAACAATAATCATATGCCTCTAAACATTCCTGATCCAGCTTCTATGGCCTTTTCAGTCGATTACAACTATGAACTCTTCATACCTCTTTTGTAGTAAACAAGGCTTAGAGACAATATGTACATACAGAACATACCAATTTGAATGTAGTAACTACTAAATGTGTCAAAACAGAAAGAAAACATAAATGATCATAATTATTAGTTATTGTACTTCATTTCCTACAAGAATTCAGATGTACAAAGATAAAATCATTTCTCCAAAAAGTAACACCACCACAAAGGAAATTCAGTGAGACGTAACATGCAAGAGATCGCCAGTTGTGGTCTCTTATTTGATCCAGCCAATCTTTAGTTGATTCTCACTATAGATGTCATACAAGTTCCCGATTGGTCTGGTTTGATATTTGTAAGTTAGGTGTGCTTAATTCAGTACTGTTTCTGTGGGAAACATTACGAAGATTATAGAGTGCTAAAGAGTGGAGGAGGGCTTCTCGGGCTTTGGACGCCTCTATGTTCTGCTCTTGAGAGATCTGAAGGCTGATTTGATTAACATTATTCATCAGCATATTAGAAGCCATGAAGTTGGTTATAGAGATGCACCTGGTAAGATTTTCTTCCAGAAACTGTTTGTAGAGTTCATCCACCTTTTTTTCCATATAATTATTAAGCATAGAATTAGAGAGGGGTTGCTTATGTGATAACATGCTTTTTTCTCGAATCTCATCCCCATTTAATAATTTTGAACTGGATGTTTTCTCTAGAGGCTCAATTTTAGGAGAATATCCCAATGGTATATCCACCGAAAGTAAAAGAGGACCATTACAAACATCATCTTGGGCATGTTCCACAAAGCAACCAGAATCATACATGTTTCTAACATGATCACCTCCTATCTGTAGGTCAGGGTAATTCTGGCAAATGCTTGTACATGACCAAGATCGATATAAATCCAGTTGTGTTTCATCATGGCCCCTCTTTGGAATGGGCAATGCAATGGATACATTTCCTGGAAGAGGTGTACTTTTGAATTTTGCAACAGGCAGCTCATCCACAGATTTCATTTGAGATGTATCATTATCTTGTTCAGTTAGACATCCTTCTATAACTTTCTCTTGATTTCCCATCTTAAGAGGGGGAGATAAATTGTCCTGTATAGCTAAAATATTATTTTCCTTTTCATCATTTGATGTCTTCTTACATCTTACTGGTTTGCAAATTTTTGCGTGTTTCTCTTCGTTGTAAAGGAATTCTGTTAGGAAGCCTTCTCCAAGCATTTTCTTAGTCAAGTTCTTCTAAAACTATGAGTGAATTGTATTCCTACAATATAAAACAACTAATCAAGACAATTTACATTACAATATTACAATTAAAATGTAATTTACATTACATTATAATAATTTTCTCCTGCATGAACCATGTTTTAAGGAAAAACTGTTGCTTAAAGAATAGAGAATAAGACTAGAGATACATTGATTCCTTTTTATCACTGTTTATTACACTCCCTACATTTTTCATGGGGCTATTGGGATAATATTACAGAGCACCTAAGCAAGTGTTTTGAAAGCACAAACTAGGGGATATATATAACTCTCTATATCCAGCTGTCTTCTAGTATTTACTTATAAAGTACTAAAACTTTTATTTCCCAAAAATCCACTTAAAATAAGAATTTACACTTACAAAAATTTTCTGAACTAAACTATAAACATTCTGTCTATTTTTTTCAATAATGTGGGTCTCTTAGTCTTCCTACTACTTTTTCTGTCTATTCCTTTTTATATTTTTTTCTTCTTTTGGACTCAGATCTTTCTTCCTTATTTACACTACCCATTAATGCAATTTTAAAAGTTTAATATTTCCCTATAAACTCCCATATAAAAACCAAGACATGTTGGTTCACACTTGTAATCCCTGCAGACAGCAGCCTGAGGCAATAATATCATAAATTCTAGGTCAGTCTGCGCTAAATAGCAAAACCTGCCTCTTACATACAAAAATAAAAGCAAACTATATGAGAATGGAAAATACCATTCAACTTTACTCAAAATAGAGCTTTCATCTCACAAGTCCATGCTATACACTATACAAGTTTCCAGGAAACCCATTTATTTTAACGGTTGAAAGAATTTGAGAAGAAAATGAAACAACACAAATCAAACTAAGAAAGAGTTTATACTTACAATTTTTTCCAAATATCAGGGTACCTAAGGATTTGGTCTTCTGATATGCCGCCACTCCAAACTCAGAAAACGTTCTTTCTGCCTGGTTTGTGTCTCAGTGTCTGCTTACATCTTACAAAGGAGGACAGCTTTAGACACATAAATTGGTTCTGCTTTCCATTCACACCCCACGACTGAAACCCTGATAGGAAAATGATGCGGGTTAGTCACATGTGTGGTCTGGTAATGACCACTTACCAAAAGAGGATATGAAAGTGTTTATTCAAGTTCCCAATGACAGAGAGTGGGAAAATGTTAACAGCAACAGAGTTCTTCATGTACGTCAAGACAGACAAGGTTATTTTCACTTTTAAGTAGGACAAGAGTGGAAGAGTCTCAGCATCCTTGGTAAAAATGATTAATTTGAAATAAATCAAATGAGCATCAAATAGAAAAGTAATCAATAAATCGTGATGCACCATGACATGAAACACTAAATTAAGCATTTCATTAAAAATATTTGTATTAATTCTTTCAGGGCTTACATCCTTTAAAAAAACCTCTCTCCCTTCCCCTCAGAAGCCATCAACTGTCAATAGGTCTTCAGTTACGGTTGGGGGAGGGAGTCATTAGCCACTAGGCCCTTCATGTTAGAATGTTGATTAGCTCGATCTTGTACAGGTCACCACAGATGTTGTAAGATCATGAGTGCCCTGGCCATGTCTTGTCCAGAAGTCTCTATTTTCCTAACCTCTAAATCTTACACTCTTTCCACACCCACTTCTATGATGGTCTCTGAGTAAATGGAACATTTCTAATGCTTTTACAATACTAAACTGATTGTTCCTTTGTTAATTTTTTTGTTTGTTTACAACAGGTATCCCTGGATGACCCATGCTTTGGAGACCAAACTGGTCTTAAACTTATGGCTACTTGACAATCATTCTAAATTGTCATATAGATTGTTAATTTAACAAGCAAAATATTATCCGTTTAACAGAGGAAACAAAGACAGAGAAGGGGGTTATGCACTTGTTGACAGTCACAAAACTAATAAGTAATAGAATTAGGGTATTCAGCAAACAGTTGGATTAAGAACACCACAGTGTATGTTATGTATATGTGTAAAGTATGTGCACTGCAGGAGAATATACACAGTTTGACTCCAACATGAATTGTGTGTATTATTCAGAGTATTTCACACACACACACACACACACACACACACACACACCAATTTAATCTTCATAAATTTCCAGGAGACAAATACTATTTTCCTTATGAAATAAATTAAGTACAGAAAGTAGTTAGGGAACATGTTCAATTTCAGAGAAGTGTGAGGAATAGTTTGGGTTTGCATTCAAGTACTTGAGAATTAGAACTTTCACGTTTAATGTCCTTGGTGAGCTAGTTTTTGCTTTTCATTGCCTTAATATATGTCAAACATGCTGGTAAAAAAATGATGCAAATCTAATTGTTTACATCAGATTCCTTTGTAGAGAAAATGGCATGAAATATGTAGAGGGGTAATTTTACAACTTACTTTCTATATTTCTATATGAATTGAATACTCTTATGATTACTGTGTATCTGTGTTTTATGGGAATGACTGAAAGACAAAATAATTCACATACATACAAAGTCAAGGAAAATACTTTTCTATCATTATTAGAATACGCTTTCCCAGCCTTACAAAGGTCTCACCCATATTTGAATGCTTTTTAATAACACATAAAACTGCCAAAGACACACAATCACAGTTTTAATACAGATATTATATTTGGGGCTTGAATTAGTAATTCATCTTTTTATTGTATTTAATGAAATTAAATGAATCAAAAGCAACCTAAAGATAGTTCTAATTTTGTGTGTCTTACCAATCAACTCGTTCAGGTTGTCAAAGTTGTCCTCCTGTGAGAAGTACTATATTACAAGAGCACCCAGTGAAGTGAGGAGATATGTCAATATCTTACACTATAAGGTAAGGAAAGAACTTCGAAGATAAATTCTATCAATGCCACCAAAAATGAATATTAAAAGAAAATAGAAAATTTAAATCCCTCTTAATTTAAATTTCATCATTGACTATATTCCATCTAGTTTCCCTTCATCCCTATATATCATGGGTCAAAATTGTATCAATGCCCTGTCCTTAAAATATCTGCCTTTCCATACTTGGATTACAATAGCTGACTCTAATCTTGTCTCCCATAACATTTGTCATACTATTTTATCTAAATTTTATGTAAACCTAAAATCTTCAAAGTCTTCTGCTTACCCATGGTTTATAAGAATGAATATATATATGTATATATATGCATATATATGCATGTATGTGTGTGCCTCAACGTAAAATATTCTTAGGCAAGGTTTTCAACCATCACAGCAAATCTTCAAGTTATAATTACCTGCAATTTTAAACAATAGTATAAAGTCTCAAAATATTAAAAATCAAAATCCAATGTGAAACCAGACTTCCATCTTTTAGTTTCTCCCTGTGCCTCTAAATCTCAAGTAAGCAGATTACTTAATTGCAGAGACAAAAAGCCAGAAATGATCACGTTAAAACCCTACCATCTACTGGGAACCTAATATCAGTGATATTTTGTGTAAACATTTGGAGCCTAACTTTTACTGGCCAGTGATAACTGAACAAAAATGATCAGTTTCGTGAAAGATAAATTGTTCTGAAAATTTGCTACTAATGACCCTTGAGATAAGACGAAGAACTTCTCTCTCAACTGCTCTGAAACTCTCACATACTCTTAAGTCTTGATTTCTCTTTTCTGTGAAATCATCAACTGTGTTTTTGCAGTGTTCTTTCAAAAACTCCTCTTTTTTACTGTCTGTTTTCATCCAGGTAAATATCATTTACAGCCTGCACATTACTGGCTTTTTCAGACGCTATCTCAAACACAGCATTCATGACAGTTCTTTCTACCTTAAAATACTTTGTTCTAGTATTTTTGCAGCACTCTACATGACTCAACTTTGTTAAGTTCTGTTATTCTGGGATAATTACCCTGACCCACATAGTAAGGTTTGATTTTATCTGCATTATATTTATCTCATTTTATGAATTCTCACTCAGTTCCTTGAAAACAAATACTTTGTCTTATGCACTGATGTGATCTTTAGCAGAACACAGAGTCTAGCACCCGTCATTAGTAACACTTTACTTCTGCACAATCTTACAGTGAAGTCACACACTTTCACATATTCAATTCATTTAATTTTTAAAATTAAATTTTTAGATAGGTACCATCATCCTCACTTCAACAAAAATGAAATTTTAACAAATTCCTTTGCTCCGGTCTCCCACTTGTTCCTTCTTCAAGACTAGGTCTCGTGATATGTATCCCAAGCTGGCTGTAAGTCTTTATGCACCAAAGCATGACCTCATACTTCTGATCTTCCGGCTCCCGGCTCCTTCCGCGTGCTGGCATTACGGATATATGCCACCAGCCCTGCTATATGTGGGACTAGGCATGGCCCAGGACCTCAGAAGCACTCTACCAAGTGAGCTGCATCTCCAGCCACGAATCCATTCTTATTAGTAGATAGAGCCACGTAACGCAATATTGTCTTACAGAAAAAAAAGGATACTTAATCCACTTTTGACAAACTCCTTAAGGTACAAATGTTGCCAGTATCTTCCACAATTAAAAAATAAAACTGGGGGGGGGCGAAGAGATGGCTGTTCAACAGTATGTACTGGTCTTCAAGAGGACCAGAGTTCGATCCCCTACATCAATGTCAGGTGGCTCCCCGTGCATACATCTGCACACCGGCGCAGATACATAATGAAAAAGAATTTTTAGAAATCTAAAAAGAAGTTGTAAATAGAAAGTATTCACTGAAAAAAATGAGCTCTGGGTGTTTCAAAGAGGAAGCAGACATTTTACACAGGGAACAGCAAGGGTGGGGGAGAAGAGGAAGTACTAAAAGGGGTAGGGACTATTGCACAAATTGAAGGCTTGGCCTCAAAAAGGAAAGGGCAGCCTGCAAAGCACATCTCAACAAGGGAGCCAGGTTGGGGGGGCGGAGGAAAAGAACTTTCCTGTGGGGGAAATATTGCTATGTTGGTCATGTCTTGCCTGAATCTGTTTGTTTGTACTATCCTTACAAACTAAGGCAACATGAGTTTGTCTCTTTTCTTCACATGCCACACTGTATTTTAATGATTTTCCTCCCTGGTCTCTGTTCCAGTGGAAAGGTGTTAACTAGTCTGTGTTACTCTAGGGAGCACAGCCTCGCCTTCCCTCCCTGCAGATGGGTGGGACTTTCTGCCCTCTGGTCACTAGGCACCAGCTTTCCTCAGAATGGGCACCAGCCTACGCCACAAGGAGCATTTGCTCCTGAGCCAATCCTGAGTGCAGGACCTTAGCAACCCCCACAGGGAAAACAAGAAGGCTAAGCCAGGATCAGTGGTCAGACTTCAGAAAGCAGGAAGCCGGTATCCAGGAAGGGAGCTAACCATAAACCACCAGTGAAATATTCCACTCATTTCTTTTGAAGAGTAACTGCAGATTGGAAACCATGAGTAACATTAAAATTTATTATGCCAGCGTGTCAGGATCTAGGGAGGTGAGTAGGAAGGGCCTCAGGTGGAGGGAAGGAAGCAGGAGGGGATTAGAGTCAAAACATCGTATTTGGGGACGTCAAGGTTTTGCTAAGACTATCATACCCTTTCTGCCCTTTTAAATTTTGCTTTATTTTACTACGTTGGATGGAGGTGGGACATACAAGGACCTATCAAAAGGGGAGTTAACTCTCTTATTCGGGCTGTGCTCTAAGAATTGAATGATATTGGAAGTTTCAGGTGTTTTGAACTCAACTACCTTAAGGAATTCAATAATTTTGTCGGTATTTCAAGTGTACAAGAAATAGTGAACTCCATTTAGAATGGGAGAGAAGAAAACGGCAGTAAGTATATAGCCAAAATCCCCAGAGGAAACCAAGCAACCCATAAAGGGGTCAATTGTTTATTTCTAAGAAGTTGGTATATTTGCATAGGTCACATATTTCTTACACAAATTAAAGTTTGGATGATTTATTTTTGGCAGTATTTAGGAAGTATTGTAGAACAGCACTGCTTAATAGAAACATAATGAAAGCTACTTATGTAACTTTAAATTTATTACTAGTCATTTAAAAGAGAAAAACAGACTAATTTAGTATATTTAACACAAAATATTCAAAATGTCATTGCAAAATGTAATCATTATGAATGTTGGTATGTTACATATTCTTTTATCATATTGTCTTCAAAAGCACTGGCTCACATAAAAACTGAAGGATTAGAATTTTTGCCCTTTTATGAAAACCAATAACTGGTTGCCAAGCATTCATCACACCCTTGCTGCATGCCATGCACAATATCTGAAGGGAGGAATGAGATTTGATCTCAGCCTAGTCAGGTAGATTCATCTTTTTGCACAAAAAAACGCAGTTTTAAAGAAAGTAAATTATGAGATTACACTAGTTTTAAAACAACAACAACAAAAAGCATGTGACATATATGCTATTGTGTATGATAGTCTGTAAAAGTGAATGATTTCAAATAAAAACCACAAAGAATGTAATACACTAAAGTGCTGATCTATGACACTCGAACTGTTGCATAATCATCATCCGGCAGGGATGCTAGAATGCATTATTACGGGTACTAGCCTCAGTATTTCTAATACTGTAGATTTGAGGTGGAAGTGATGCTGATGCTGCCAGTCTGTGAATCATGCACAGAATATCACTGTTCTATGCAACTGTTCCCTTAATGGATTAGTCTGGAAAGATTTAGAAAAAATTATAAGATGACTCATGTCTCATGCAATATATCTTGCAATTTAAAGAAGTAATGAGAATGTGGAAACACTGAATTTTGGAATTTTAAAATTTTCTCTGCTATCCTTTAGATACAGACAAGTATTTTTGAAGTATGACTGAGTTACACCTTCTGAACATCCAACTTTAAAAAGCTTACTGACATGGCACTTTTACAGAAATCCCACTTCAGTGAGTTGGGGCTGGAGCTTGTCAAATGATTTTCACATTCTGGTATCAGAAGTATTATTTGACAAAATTACTCAAGATACCACATGAAAACACAGAAATCTCAATTTTACCTAATATTTATGATGTGGTTCTTCAATTTTTGGTTATAAATTAAATTAAAAAACAAACAACCACAGTTATGATTCTACTTTGACCATAGTGTTCATTTTAAAAGAAAGTTAAGTATCAAAATGAGTCTGTTGGTGTAGGATACAAATTTGGCAATTCAAGCACACAAAAATTAGCCATCTTTGATCTTTCATTTATTTCATGTATTTAATTTTTCATTCCATTTTCTGATTTAACTCCTGATTTTTTGTTTTCCCTCTTCTATATGTAGATGTAGACACACAGGGTGCTTTTCAAAGCAGTCTCACTGTGTGATCCAAGCTGGCCTAGAAATTGCTCACTATGGCTGTCTTTTTTATTTGTTAGTATATATTGATTGTACAAACATTTTAGTACATGTTAAGTTTCATATATTGCCACACATCTTTTAAAAGAAAATCTGTAGTCCTGTTCAATTCCATATTGTGCAATACCTATGTGTATATAACATAATACATATGACTGATAAACTATGTATAATATGACAAATATATATATATACATGATCTAACAACAAAAATGCCTAATTGTTTTTGTACCCAAGCTTGCCAACAATAATGGCTGTTCCTCTTTCATAACATAATGGATAGGCCAGACAACAAAACATAAAGGTATTAGTGCAAATTGATTAATAACTTTCTATCTCTTTATACTAGGTAAAACAAAGGCAAGATGAGGTTATGAGGATTTTGGATTCTTATAAAGTTAAGTATGAGCTAATAGACATTGCTGTCAGCTCCCAAATATTAGAAGAAATGAGAACTAAAGTTGCCTGTCCTAGTGCTGCACCGCCTCAGATATTCAATGGCCAAGAATATTGTGGAGTAAGAATGCTCATCTTCATTGTTTATATTTAATAACATAAAATCATATATGTGGGTAAAAATCAATGTATGAGGTATGAAAAGTCGGGTTTACTTAACTACAGACTAACTTCATTGTGTTTCTAACAACAAGATAATTGGTGTTTAATCCTAAAAAGATTGTCACTTCTTGGTGAAGGATAATTATGTGTATTTTTATCATTCATTATAATATGCAATAACTGATATTCTGGGGAAATTATTCATCTTTCTGAGTTAGCAGAAGTTTGAAAAAGTCTGGGCATAATAATTAGCAGGCAGCACTTGACTTTAATTTGTAATTAAGAATGATCAGAACTGATTAACTCCAATTTTATTTTTAGGATTTTATAACTTTCCACGATGCCAAAGAGAACAAGGAAGTTCTAAAGTTCCTGAAGATGGAGAAAATGTAGACATGATAAATGATAAACTCATCATTTACTCTTATCAAATAACTGCTCCATTAAAGTTATCACCAAAACTAATGGAATCCTACTCTGAATGAAATCCTACTCTGAATGATTTGTTAAAATGATTGTTTAAAACTGAACATTTTAAAGATTTGCATTTACTCTCTCTCTCTCTCTCTCTCTGTCTCTGTCTCTCTCGGTGGGAGTTGTGCCCAAACACACACACACACACACACACACGGATGCCTACAGAAACCAAAGAAAGGTGTCAAATTCCTTATTAGTTACAAGGAGCATGGGTACTGGGAACCAAACTTGAGTCCTTTCAAAGATCAGCAACCACTCTTAACTGCTAAATCATCTCTCCAGCTCCAACTGTGAACACTTTGCAGACAAGAAATTGAACTAGTATCCATCAACATGAAACTTTAAACAAAAACACTAGTAACTGGCTACACGCATGAATACACTTCTAGGGCAATTTTCAGTTTGCTTTCTGCTTTATTTTTAAATGTTTGTCACTATATTTAATACAGGTTTACATCATAAATCCTCATGCAAAGGAAACACAGGACTAAGAGTAACTTTCATTCTTAATATTCTCAGGTGAGCCGGGCGTTGGTGGCGCACGCCTTTAATCCCAGCACTCGGGAGGCAGAGGCAGGCGGATCTCTGTGAGTTCGGGGCCAGCCTGGTCTACAAAGAGAATTCCAGGACAGCCTCCAAAGTCACAGAGAAACCCTGTCTCGAAAAACCAAAAAAAAAGAAAAGAAAAGAAAAGAAAAAAATATTCTCAGGTGATTTTTCATACATTAATATCTGGGAACCAATACTTGAAAATAATTTCAGATCACCTCTTATTTCCTACATGATACAAAATGGCGGACTTCTTCCAATCTGTTTCTCCACTTGTTTTTGTTGTTGATGTTGTTGTTGACAGGCGAATTTATCTACCCATACTACATCTCAGAAGACATGGTGTTGACTCCATGTGAAATGGACTACCAAGTCCTAGATGAGTTGGTCTTCATATTTCAGTTATCCTCTGCTTCTTCAGTTAAGATTTTTCTCCATAGCCCCATCATTTTTTATTAATTTACTTTTTACATTCCAATCCCAGTTCCCCCTGCCTCCTTTCCATCCCCTCCCTCCACATCCTCTTCACCCCAACTCCCATCTGCTTCTCGGAGAGGGTAAGGCCTCCCCTAGGAAGTCTACTAAGTCTGTCCCATCATCACGCTGAGGCAGGACCAAGGCACCTCTCCTCCCCCCCACACCCGTGTCTGGGCTGGGCAGGGTATCTCTCCATATAGAATGGGCTCCCACTAAGTCAGTTTGTGCATTACAGTTAGATCTGGGACCCAGTGCCAGTGGCCTTGTACATTGTCCCAGTTGCACCATTGTCAACTATATTAAGGGAGTCTAGTTTAGTCAGAGTCAGTGATCTCTCACTAGTTCAGGTCAGCTCTTTCTGTGAATTTCCCCATCATGGTCTTGACTCCTTTGTTCATATTATCACTCCTCCCTCACTTCAATGAGCTTGGCCCAATGGTTAGTTATAGATTTCTGCATCTGCTTCCATTTGTTTCTGGAAGAGGATTCTAGCTTCTCTGGGGTTGTGAATTGTCAGCTAGTTATCTTTTGCTTTATATCTGCTATCCACTTATGAGTGAGTGCATACTATATTTGTCTTTCTGGTTTTGGGTTACCTCACTCAGGATGTTTTTTTTTTTTTTGTTCTTTCCATTTGCCTTCGAATTTTAGGATCTCACTGTTTCTTTTTATAATTTTAGTATTTTTATTTTAGAAGCACTCTTATTTACATAACAATCCCCCCATTCCCTTGCCCTCCCATGCTCCACTAAACCCCCAACCCAACCTACCCCTACCCACTCCCCTCCACGGGGGACCATCAAAGTCCCTCACATCACTTAGGGCAGGGCCCAGACCCTCCTTTCCATATCTGGGCTGCAAAAGTATCCCCTCCATAGGGAATGGACTCCCAATGTCCATTTATGATCTAGGGATAAACACTGGTTACCCTATTAGAGGTCCATAGACTCTCCTGGCCTCCTAGTTGGCACCCACATTCAGAGGGCTTGGTTCGGTCCAATGCTGATTACCCAGCTTTATGACTAGTGTCTCCATGCTCTCACTATATCAGGTCAACTGTTTCCGAGAGTTTCTCCAGCACCATCTTGGCTCCTTTGCTCATCCCTCCTCCCTCTCTGCAAATGAATTCCAGTTGTATGACACAGTATTTAGCTGTGGGTGACTGTTTCTGCTTCGATCAGCTACTGGAGGCTCTAGGAATGGCAACCAAGGCAGTCATCAATCTCATTATAATGGAAGGATATCAAAGGTATCCTCTCCACCAATGCCTAGATTGTTAGTTGGGGGTCTTTCAACCATTTTAGATTCCTCTACTATGAATTCTCTATTTAGTTCTGCACCCCAATTTTAATTAGACTGTTTCGTATTTTGGTGGCTAGCTTCTTGAGTTCATTGTATGTTTTGGAAATCAGCCCTCTGTCAGATGTGGGGTTGGTGTAGATCTTTTCCCATTCTGTGGGCTGCCATTTTGTCTTGCTGACTGTGTCTTTTGCCTTACATAAGCTTCTCAGTTTCAGGAGGTTCCATTTATTAATTGCTGATCTCAATGTGTGTGATACTGGTGTTATGTTCAGGAAGTAGTCTCCTGTACCAATTCATTCAAGGGTACTTCCCACTTTCTTCTAAGAGTTTCAGTGTTGCTGGATTTATGTTGAGGTCTTTGATCCATTTGGACTTAAGTTTTGTGCATGGCAATAGACATGGAACTATCTGCAATCTTCTACATGTCCACATCCAGTTATGCCAGCACCATTTGTTGAAGATGATTTCTTTTTTCCATTGTATAACTTTAGCTTCTTTGTCAAAAATCAGGTGTTCGTAGGTGTGTGGATTAGTATCAGGTTCTACCTGTCTACTTTTGTGCCAATGCCAAGCTGTTTTCAGGACTACAGACCTATAATAGAGCTTGAAGTGAGGGATGGTGATGCCTCCAGATGTTGCTTTATTGTACAGGGTTGCTTTGGCTATCCTGGATTTTTTGCTTTTCCATATAAATTTGAGTATTGTTCTTTCAAGGTCGGTGAAGAATTGTGTTGGGATTTTGATGGGGATTGCATTGAATTTGTAAATTTCTTTTGGCAAGATTGTCATTTTTAATATGTTGATCCTACCTATACAAGAGCATTGGAGATCATTCCATTTTCTGGCATATTCTTTAATTTCTTTCTTTAAGAATTCTTACTATACAGGTCTCTCACTTGTTTGGTTAGCATTACCCCAATATATTTTATGTTGTTTGTGGCTATTTTTTATTTTTTTCTTCTCAATATATGTTTTATTTAAATTAGAAACGTGAATGTTTCACATGTCAGTCCCAGCTCCTTCTCTCACCCCTCCTCCCTTGTCCCTCCACCAGACCCCCAGCTCCCAACCCAATACCCACATCATTCCCCAGGGAGGATGAGGCCCTCCTTGGATGGGGGGGAATCTCTAAAGTCTGTCATTTCATCCTGGGCAAGAACTAGGCCCTTTCCCATGTGTCCAGGCTGAGAGAGCGTCCCTCTATTTGGAATGGGCTCCCAAGGCTCTTTTTTAAAAATATTTTTATTATTTTAATTTTAAATAGCTTGTTTTACATGTCAATCCCAGTTCCCTCTCCCTCCCCTCTTACCACACCCCCCCACCATGCCCCACATCCTCCCACCCTATTGCCAATTCCTTCTACATAGGGGATATCTAGAGTCTGTCATTTCACTCAGGGTAGGGTTCAGGCACTCCCCTAAGAGTCCAGGCTGAGAGAGCATCCCTCTTTGTGCTATGGGCACACGATGTCTGTTTATATGCCAGGGATAGACACTGATCCACTGCTCAGGACTCCATAGGTTGCCCAGGCCTCCTCACTGACTCTCACACTCAGGGGCTCTGGATCAGTCCCATGCTGCCCTCCCAGCTGTCGGTCTGGGGTCCAAGAGCTCTCCCCTGTTCAGATCAGCTGTCTCTGCTGGTTTTGCCAGCCCATTCTTTGCCAATTTGCTCATCGCTCCTCTCTCTCTGTCGTTGGGTTCCTTGGGTTCAGTTCAGTGTTTAATGTGGGTGTTTGCCTCTGCTTCCATCAGTCACTGGATGAAGGCTCCAGGATGGTTATACACATCAAGTTCATTATCAGGACTGGGCATTTGAGGTGGTCTCTCCACTATTGCTTAGCTTGCCAATTGGTGTCATCCCTTTAGAACACTAGAGGTCACAGTGGTGTCTGATCTGTCTTCTAACCTATGATTCCCTCTTCCCCCTATCCTACCCCCCACTCAACCTTCCTGTCCCCCCTCTTCTCCCCCTCTCTATTTCCCAGCTCCCCCTCCCCCCACCCCTCGCCGTGTTCCCCATCTGTTCAGAGGATCTTGCCTTATTTCTCTTCTCTTGGGTACCATGCATAACTTTTAGGTTCTTTCCTCTTTCCCAGACTCTCTGAAGTGGAAGTGCAGACGGGCACTCTCCTGATCCATGTCTAAAAATCCATATATGAGTGAGTACATACCATGTTTGTCTTTTTGTGACTGGGTTACCTCACTCAGGATGGTTTCTTCCAGTGCTATCCATTTACCTGCGAATTTCAAGACCCCATTGTTTTTTTTCTGCTGAGTAATACTCCATTGTGTAAATGTACCACATTTTCTCTATCCACTGTTCAGTTGAGGGGCATCTAGGTTGCTTCCAGGTTCTGGGTATTACAAATAATGCTGCCATGAACATAGTGGAGCAGATGCCCTTGTTGTATGAATTTGCCTCATTTGGATATATGCCTAAGAGTGGAATTGCTGGGTCTTGTGGTAGATTGATTCCCATTTTCCTGAGAAATCTCCATACTGCTTTCCAAAGTGGCTGTACGAGTTGGCACTCCCACCAGCAGTGGAGGAGTGTTCCCCTCTCTCCACATCCTCTCCAGCATAATTTGTCTTCGGTGTTTTTGATTTTAGCCATTCTGACAGGAGTAAGACGGTATCTCTAAGTTGTTTTGATTTGCA